GAAACACTTGATGCTGAACCTGTATCTCATCAACATCTTTGCAAATGAAATCTATAGCTGTCCTTGCAGTGAGACTGACCCAACTCTTCGTCTTCATCTTCATCTTCATCTTAAGGTTCGTTTCAACCCAAATCTGTGCAGCCACGTCTGGGTGGCATCAGGTGGACAGACGGGCATCATCAGACTGAACTGTGTCAGGGTCATGATCACTGATTATACCCAGACAATAATCAGCAAGAACCAGGTCCAGTTTGAAGAACAGCACTCCCCTAAAGACAAGGAGGAGGAGGAGGTGGAGGAGCAGAAGGAGGAGGAGCAGAAGGTGGAGGAGGAGCAGAAGGTGGAGGAGGTCCAAACGGAGCCAGAGCAGAGATAGCAAAGGTGGATCATACTGCTGCAAAAAAAAAAAACTACAAAAACTATACTGAAATATTTCAGATGGAACAATATATTTTTTTTCCATTACGTTTATCATGTTATCATGTATTTAGTTTTTTGTGTTACTTTGTTTTCAAAAGGTATTACCTGTGACGAATCAGTGACCTCATCATATTATTGATCAAGCTGGTCAACAGTTGGAGAACGTGGTTTCCGAGCGCTCGGCTCTTTGAATTGTTTACGTAGCTGAGTTTTAGTCGGGTTTTTAATTCAGCTGGGAGGATTTGACTTCAACATGTCTAGTGTCATCCAATCAACTCTCAGGATTAATCATACGGAACTCACGGCTGTTCAAGTGCAGTGATGGTTATGCACAGGTGTGCCACAGCGTACCCTACTGGTTCACCTAAACATTACTACTGAACTTATTTACATTATTCAGACTAAACCATGCGTTTGTTTGTCACCAGTAACACATTCCATCATGTTCTCAGTGAACCAAGGTCTCGCCCCAGCAACACACACACACACACACACACATACACAGCACTCCGGGGTGGAGATGTTTGAAGACGGTGGTGGCCACTTTTCACTGTAGTCGTCTCCTTCAAATCAGCAAGTACCAGTTATTATAAAGTCATCTTTTATCCTTTAGTGACCCTGCTCTCATGTATGTTCTGTGAACATCCCGGCCCTAAATGTCGTTGACAAATGTCGGTCCATTTGTTATTCACATACTGTTTTGATCTTTGACTTTGAATCCTTACGACACCGACGGCACCGAGAGCCTTAAAGTTCCAGACAGGACCATTTTCGGGTACAATTTTGTTTCATCCAAAATAATCTTGAAAATGAACCTCGTTTTTGCTGCTGTGTGTTTGTTCTATGAAAAATATTTTTCCGAAAATCTTGGGCCGTCAGGGGAAATACTTGAATATTTTTATAATGCGTCAGCGTTACGTTGGCTTGACTAAACACAGGTTTGTGTGTTTTACTGCATCACCCACGTGGTATTCTTCAGTTTCGTTAGCAGCGGTGGTTACGTGGAAATACATGATTTGTCGTTTTCTTTCATTGTTAGAATGTGCGTCTTGTTTTAAAAGATAGTTATTCTCTAGTCACACTGGTGCAGGGTGACGTCCAGTACGTTTGTTGTTTACAACCATGACTGCAGACAGTATGATCATGACAGTCGTACACCTGCTGTCACCTTGTTTTACTCTCTTGTTCTGTTCTGTTATTAAACAAATAAATAAAGGAGACGTTACGAACTTGTTAAAGCAGTTATCTGAGGACACGTCATTCTGGACTCCTGGGTCAGCTGATCCACCTGTCCGCTGTTAGATACAAAAACACCGTGGTCATAACTGTAATGTGTGAAAATCCATTCTAACACCAGGCTCCATCAGCAGCTGTGACTGAGAGGATCTCTGAGGTGTGAAGATTTGGAGGCTCAAACTGAGGTTCCTGGGAAAAGACGTGTTCACGGTAAACGCATGTCTTATGTCTGTGTAAAACTCTACAGGAGTTTCATCAGGACAAAGTCGGGACATCATCGCCACAGGGTGTGTGACATCATCGACACAGGGGGTGTGACATCATCGCCACAGGGTGTGTGACATCATCGCCACAGGGGGTGTGACATCATCGACACAGGGTATATCGAGCTTTGTGCAAAAATAAGAATGTCTTTTGCAAAGAACACCATTTTTTTGTTTCCTTTTGTCACTGATTTCTTCAACAGGCTGGGACCAGGACAACAAACATCTGGTGATGGAGTGACCCGTTGAAGAACCAGCTGACAGTACAGTGACAGGGACCAGAGTCCAACAAGGGACCAGGTGACGTTTGGACAGGTTGCTGGACACACAGTGGACGTCACAGTGGAGGACGTTGGTCTTTACAGCTGCAGAAAACACTGTGGTCCAAAGTGTCTTTGTTGAACACCATGTGATCTGAGGAGGATCCATTTAAAGGTTCGGTTCTGTCTGGTGTCTGGTGGAGACGCTTCAAGTTGTCAGGTGAGAAAACTGAGTTGAAAGAGGATATTGTGATTGGTTGGTTTGAAATAAGCAACAATTGTGTCTATGTTTATACATGTATATATGTGTATTTATAAATGTATGACTTCCAGTGAAGTAAATGATGGCGTGTGGCTTATTTATACTGTTTTTCATGAAAACACTGGCGTTTGAACAAGTTCAGTCAACAACAAGTTTTTTGTTTGTTTTTTGCTTAATTAAATACATTTAATTGATTTAGGTTGAATTGTTCAGAGCAGAATTCATTATTCTCTGTGTGTGTGTGTGTGTGTGTGTGTGTGTGCTGTTGTCTAGGTGGACGCCCACACCACATCCTGTTCCCTCCTTTGGCTCTCAAAGGTTTCAGGTCAGTCACTTCCTGGCTGTGTCTCAGCTGTACCTTTGGTCGACTGTAGCTTTAACAGTGAAAAGACTTAGAAAAGAGTTGTTGCTGCTTCTGTTGTTTTTACTCTTTATCTTCAATTCAAAGGAAGTGGTCAGTTTAAGAGGAAGTGGTCAGTTTAAGAGGAGAGGAAGTGACAAGTGAAAAAGACAAGATAAGAAGATAAGAATGACAGATGAAACGTTTGACGTCACTGGGAAGAGAATGATTTTCTGCACGGTTCTGGTTCTTCAGGTGACAGGTGAGAGCCCAGAGGGAACCGTTCTGTCAGGACTTCACCACAACCGTCACTTTGTCCTCATTTGTCTCTGTCCCCCGTCAACCTTAGGCCTGTGTTCGGCCCACATCACAACAGCTGGAGATGCAGTCACTCTGCCTTGTGGATTGGTGAAAGAGGACGTGGTTCCAGACTGTGGAGGATTCAACTGGACCCATGACCAGACCTCACTGGTGGAGTTTGGACAGAACGTTGCTCCAGACACTCACAGAAACAGAGTCTCTTTGACAGAGATCTGTTCCTTGACCTTGACGGAGGTCAGAGTGGAGGACGTGGGTCTTTATTTCTGCAAGACCTCCAATGAAAAAGGTTGGAGTTCTTCTGCAGTTCATCTGGCTGTGGTCACAAGTGAGTGGATCGTCAATTTGACACCGTTAACCTTTGACCCTGCTTAACTGTCCTTCTCTCCTCTCTCTCCTGCAGTAACGGAGCAGACGGTCTCCGACCAGGTGACCTTGACCTGCTCTGTGTTCACCTTCTCAGACTGCAGATACTCGGTGAGGTGGGTGAGTCCTCCTGGTGTGGACAAAGACACAGGTCTACACTCTGAGAGAGCGGGCTTCAGATGCTGGGCCACGGCCACGTGGGCCACAAGGCATCTTACATCAAGAGAGAAGCAGTCGTGGAGATGTTCAGTGGCCTCCAAAGACCTGAGAGAACTGTTTGAGTCTGAGATCAAGAGATGGCCAGGTGAGAGAACAGAGGTGACCACTGAGTGAGTGGGTGATTTTAAAGGGACATTCTGGTTGCTTTTATGATAATAACCCCCGCCCCCTGCACCGAGTAGCTACACCCACTCCCACTCCCACCTGTGTGAGGGTCTTTCATGGACTTTACTCAAACGTGACCACACGTGTGTCTTTTTAATCCAGGGCTGTTGACCAGCTGGGTCAGGAATCCAGTTCCAATCAGTTTGTGTGACACACATTGAAGTACGTATTAAACGTAGTACGTGTCACACGTCAAAACATCCGTTTGCTTCATCACTTAAGTTCACTCTGACCTTTGAGGAAAAAAACCAACCGAGACCTGGGGTCCCATCCATCACAGTAGTGTGTGTGATCAAATGTGTGCGTGCCAACGCTCCCGTACAAACTGGGGAATTTATTGATGTGTAGAAATTCAGACACACCTCTGACCATGAAGACGCACGA